GGCAAGTTAGCCTTGATCAATTCAAAAGAATGAAAATCTCTTCGGACTTCAGCATGATTTGATTGCCTGCCAGGTTTCATATGTGTGAAATTAAATTTCTGTTAGAATTATAAAAAGGCTGAAGCTAGAAAAAAATGTTTATTCACAATTTAACATGTATGTGTTTTCTGTGTATTCTGGAGTCAAAGATGAGGCAGACAGTATCTGCCCTCAAAAATCCTACAATCTAGTAGAACAGCATTTCCAAAATTTCAGTATTCAATTATAGGGATATGTACTATTTTCTTTTATATTCATTTACAGATTAATTAGCCTTGAACCTTAAATCTCTATAGAAGAGGGCTTAAGGAATGGCAAACTGGTTAAGATTGGGGGAAGCACAGAGCTATATTTGCACAGCAGTTTATATATGATTTCTTGGAGAAGCATGAACAGAAATGGTTATAAATGAGATCATCAGGGCATGATGTGTTTAACTCTCCATCAAATTCCCCCATAGTTGGCACTATCGATATTATTACCAAGAAATTTTTATAAAATTACCTAAAAAATACACTAGTGATATATTTTAATAGTCATTAAATAAAAATCACCTACAATCTTGATTTGCATCAGGAGTTAACGCATAGCATGCTTTAGAAGCTACTATTGTAAAAGATTTAAAGTATGTACAGAAATAGCTAACCTAAGAGCAATTAATTGCTATAAGCAAAGTATAACCAAATCAGGAAGAGATCCAAGGAAGAACTGTCTCCCAGGAGCAAAACCGTACTGAATAACATATGCACACTTACACCGAACAAATATGACAAAGGGCTTCAGCCAGCTCTGCTTTCATTCACTGTGCTGAAAGACATCATCAACACTTCCTCACCCACCTCATCTTATCCTATAAAACATCTGCTTCCTTAAAAAGAAGTTACATACTGACCTTTCCACTAAAAATTGAAAAACATGAATTTCCTTTCAGGAGGCGGAAGGATGGGAACAATACATGCCTTCTGTGATTTTACTAAAAAACCCACTGCTAATTAAAACCATATATTTAGTATGTGTAGAGAGCAAAAAATGAAGGTAGCAAATGGGGAATTCTTGAATAAAACCATGCTCCTCTGTGAATTCAGATTAGCAGTGTTATACTATTGGCTGACTTTTGAACATTCTGTTCTATCTGAAACAGCTGGACAGCAAGGAAGCAAACTGTCTGACAGAAACCCAGTTAGGCCTGATGAAAGAGAGGCCATGAAATGTCTCTGCTGTCTCTACAAAGACAAAGAAAAAATGTCAGATTCAGCTTTGAATTAAATTCTAAATATAAACTTTTAGAACAGACTTGGTCCAGTTACTTGGTCAACTTAGTACAATATTACATTATGCTCTCAGCAACTGTGCGCGTCGCTCCTGATGAAAATCTCGATGGGTTTCTAGAAATCTGATAGTTTTTGTTCGGGTGATTGCCACGAGAGCAAATTGCAGGAGATAGCTCTAGCCTGAATTGCAAAAGAACCTGAGTTACTTCCTGCTAACCCTTCCCTCCACTAGAAGTGTGATCATAGTGGACGTCTCGCTGCCCTCCTACATTAACAATATAGGCAAGCTAGTTGCCAACATGGCTCTCCTATTCCAACAGTTATTTGGCTGTCAATAGTAATACAGTCAGAGTTGTACAACTGTAATGCTAATAGCCACTCTTTTTCAAAGAGAAGGGGATCAAATCCTTTCCTGTACTTTGTCATCACAAAACATTTTTTTTCAAAAGACTATGGGTATCTTTCTTTTTTCTCTGTACTCGCATTTCAGTCTATTGAGGTCTCCATAATAGCATTTATCCCTTTCTCCTTTGTACATAAGTTGTGTGTGTGGAGGCTTTGGATTCCTAAGGATTGGTAATGATTTTCCTTATTATACCATTCTCTTTAGCCCTTGCAAAATGCCTGTGTACAGTAGAAATAAAATAAATGTTTGTTGAATGTTGTATTTTAAAAAGACAACAATAACAACAAACATGAATATTCTTCATTTAGAATGGAAGCTTCAAGAAGGCAGGGATCTTTATTTGTTTAATGATGTGAGGCCCATGCATCTAGTAAGTTCCTAGCACACAGCTAACAATAACTATTTGTTGAATGAATGGATAAATATTGTGATTCTCCAAAGAACATGAGCAGTATTTATTTGGTTGGTAAATAAAAGAAAGGAAATGTCTTATATATGTGCAAAGGAAGAAAGACCAGATTGGCAATTTCCCCTTTCTCTAGGCAAAGAGTTGGCAAGTGTTTTCTATAGAGGACCAGAGAGTAAATATATTGGACTTTTTTGAGCCATATAGTTTCTGTTGCAACAACTCAACTCTATTATTGAGTGTAAAAGACAATACATGAATAAATAAGTGTGGCTATATTTCAATAAAACTTTATTTACAAAAAGAGTCAGCAGGCAAGATTTGGACCCTAAGCGGTAGTTTGCTGGCTCCTGCCCAAACCTGTTCGGATTAAGACAAATTGATAACTATTCTCTCCAAGAAGACCATGCCTTCTGCATCTTTATACATCCTGCATCACCACCTATAACAGGTAGCACAGTCCTTTGTGATATGATAGCTGCACAGTATATGGTTTTTGAATTACACTATATCTTCCAGTAACTGACTTCCTAGATCAAGATTTCAGTAGAATCAATAAATTCAGTCCCTGCAATGTGCCTTTTCTCTGAACACTGTCCTAGCAAAACATGTAGGAAGTTAATAACTTATGGGCACATTCTCTCTTGATAGAAAGAATCCCAATGCCTCTTATAAATGAAGTTGTTTCTTCAGGATGCCTATGACTAACCTGAGGTAGTAGCTCTTCTGATTAGCCATGAAGCCCAGAAATGATTAACAACTTTCTCACTGCTCATAGGAGTTCATGCTTCTTTTGAAACTGCCTCCCCTCCCAGTCTTTTTAAATAAATTGTTTTCATAAAAAGCATGTAAAAATGATCATGGGTATCTGCAACCGGCAAAACTGTTCTCCCACATTTCCATCTTTAATGACTACAAAATGTGATATTTACATTACTTTTATTAGATTGCTGCACCATTTCAGGCACGTGTTACATATGGTGACAGGCTACATATTCATCACTGAGATGAATTGATGTTTTACAATGTTTAGATAGCACTAATGTGGAAAACCGTCATCATATAATACATTTTCTGGCCCTTTTTTATACTTGCACGACCTATATGCAAAACTTATTTCTCATTTTGCTAAGTTTTGGCCTTACTCAAAAATCAGGCTTGATTTCCACTTCAGCTGCAAAAGTAAGTCAGGCATATTGAGGTTTTAATTCTGATTCAACCATTTAATTGTTCTAAAACCCTGCTTTCTTCAATGGTAAAAGATGGGACAGGGGAGGGGGGAAAGAAATGGTACCAACCCAATAGGGTTGCTGTGAAGATTATATGAGAGAATGCATATAAAGTGTGCAACACCTACAAAAAGAGCAATTGCATGTGATTTGCTCAATAAAGCGTAGTTATTATTATTCGCTATTGTCCAAACCCTGCATTTCTGTTTAAGTTGGCAGCTCCCCTGTAAGTGCTGGAGAGATGCTGGAGTGTGTGGGAGACTACTGGGAATGCTGGGAGATGATTCAGCAAACTTAAATTTTGTTATATGAAACAAGGATCTACTGGAGTCCCTACCAACAATCTATAAAAAACAAAGGTAAGATGCTATAAAGCCACATGATTCCCTCTTCACAGCAAGGGTATGAATAATATGGCATTTTCTGGGGATTGAGAAAGTGGGGTGCTCATTTTAAGCATGCTAGGGAGGACTATAGAAATGAACACTCATTATATCCACTGAGTGTTCTATCCAATTTCATTCAGGAGGCAGCAGCTCCTTAGAAATATTTTATTTGGCTGTAATGAGTAAATAGATACAGTGTAATGAATATTCATTCGTACATACTGAAGTCTGTAAGAATATAAAAGAGCCCAAAGAGCCTTTAGCTTTTTTATTTTTTTTTCTAAATTGACTTGGCGTGTCCATTTGAATATTGTTGGATTCCCTTTCAGTCAGTGTTCTCAATGGGGGTCAATTTTGTCCTCAGAGGGGCATCTGGCAGTGTCTGGAGATATTTCTGGATGCTACAACTTGGGATAGAGGAGTCTACTGGTATCTACTTAGTAGGGATGCTGTGCAATATCCTATAATGCATGGAACCATCTCTACAACAGTTATCGGACCCAAATGCAAATAATGCCAATGTCGAGAAAGCTTGCTCTAGCTAATACCTATTAAGAATCCAATGGGTTTGAAATCACCCACAGCCCAGGTGGATCTTGAGGAGAATCAAGGGAATGGTGGGCTTTTTTTTTGTTTGTTTTTGTTTTGTTTTTTTGTCAATATGGTCAAATCTTCCTAGTGTCCTATATTGATCTCACCCCAAATTTTAAGTTCCCTAATCCATGTATAAGCATTCCCATTAGTTTCCTAATTCATCTATAAATTCCCTAATTCATCTATAAGCAGCCCCATTAATTAGTAGTATGGAGTTCATATCCTCATGGAAAGAATGATGAATGACAGATGACTGTAGGTGCCAACAACACTATAGTTTACAAAGTTCTCTATATGTTACTTTACCTATTAGGGACTTCAGCACTGAAAGTTGCTGGGCTTACACACAAAGGAGTTCAACCAACCATCCACACTTAGCCTTTAACCAACCAAGACACCAGGGTTTCCTGCCTCAGGATTTCTTAAACAACATCAATTCCCATGGACAAACAACATATTACTCTCACAGTAGCATAAATGTACAAATTAGTTCCCGGGTAAAAGTTATAGGCACTATCTTTTCATTCTCTCCTCCCACAAAACTAAAAATCTATTTCATGCATCAAAGAATATCTTCTCTTACAGGAACCCTGCAGGAGCTGCTGTGAGGGCGGTAGCCAGGAACATGGAAAATACTCTAAGATTGAACATGTATATAAAGGACATTACTTTGAAGCTTCTGATTCTGTACTTGGGCTCATCTTGATGCTGCTGAAGAGACTCTCTGGGAACTCTGTATTTGGAGTACCTCCCATCTGTTCTCTCGGATAAACTGTGGGAATCCTGGAAAAACAACAACAATCTAAACTGGTGGATGAAAGAAAAATCAGCATTTGAAATTAGAATAAAAGTATTGGTATGGTATGCATGCATATGGGCATAACCAATGGACAAAAACAGTAGGAGGGGTGAAGGCGTGGGGGATGAGGTGGCCGAGGAGAGGTCAATGGGGAGGAAAGGAGATTTGTGTAATACTTTAAACAATAAATAATTTAAATTTTTTCAAAAAGTACTGGTATGTAGAAAATAAACAATTAAAGTTTAGAGAGATATTTAGGGGAACCATATGTTGATGAAGAAGAAAATGGTCATTTTGGATGACACGATAAAAATTAACTAGGGTCCCACATTAGAAAAATTGCGAATTTGCATTTTATTTACAACTAGTCCTGGTGCCAATCTGAAATAACTGACACTGTTTAGTTGAGAGAAATAAGTTTCAAGTAACAGGAAGTTTTCTGAAGATGATCATTAATGACATCATGCCACTTCCCTAGTAGTATCTGGCATCAAAAAGAAGGTTACCTTTAAAACTAGCGCCCTATTTTTCACTAATTCTTAAATAACATTTTACTTTTCTCATCTCACCTCAAAAGCAAAAAGGTATCTCACCCCACATCAAAAGGATATCTCATCTCACCTCAAAAGCAAAAGGGTAAAAGATTCAGGTAATAAAGAAATTTAAAAAAAAATTTCCTCACCTGGTCTCTCTCTCTCTCTCTCTCTCTCTCTCTCTCTCTCTCTCTCTCTCTCTCTCTCTTTCTCTCTCTCCTTTCCTTCCTTCTTTCCTTCCTCCCTTCTTTCCTTCCTCCCTTCCTTCCTTCCTTCCTTCCTTCCTTCCTTCCTTCCTTCCTTCCTTCCTTCCTTCCTTCCTTCCTTCCTTCCTTCCTTCCTTCCTCTCTTCCTTCAGTTTGGGGAAAGAGGATAAAATACAGCAAATAGTCACTATAGCCATTTATTTAGACAATAATGTTATAAATTAGAGAGACTTTAAAAAATTACAATAAGGGCAACTGATTTTTGTATGTAAGGAATATCTTAGTTCCCCAAACAGCACCAAATTAGAAGAAATATTAAAATTCCAAATTTCTCATTTTTATATATATATAAAAAAGCTATAGCCCCTATAAAGCTAGGAATGAGTTGCCTAAGACTAGGCAATTTGTGGTGGATGGGGGCTTGGAACTCAATGCTGCTCCCTTTCACCATTACAAATATACAATACTTAAATGTGGGATTATAGAGCTGAATCACTTCTTTCAAAATCCCCAACCAACTGAACTGGCCAGGGCTCTGTGAGGAACTTTAAAAAACTATAGTAGGCAAATCCATACATGTAATTAACTGGGTTTTTTAATGAAAAGCTTTGTGATTAGAGTTCTATCAATAAATGGCATGGGATATAAAATCTAAAGCTCTATGCAGATTTCAATTCAAATGTCACAGTACCGGGATAACTTGTGCACCATCATCTCTCTCAAACAAACAGTATTCTGAAAAATTGAAACTCCAAGAAGATAATTTGTAAATTAAAAATGTTTCTCACAAAAGTTATCTATTGTCAATGTAATGTGTAATCTTTTTTAATTCGCAATTTTTTCTAAATCATAGTTAAAGCTTCCGAGGGCCAAATGAGCTTTTAGGAGTCGAGTAAGAGTCTCCATTTTCCTATATTGTGCTAATATATGCCCCATTATTTTCAATCTGGACATGACAAATGTCAATAATCTCTGATAAGATGAAGTGTGAAACATCCCAATGTTTTTTGGTCTTTCCCCTCTCCCTACAACTTTCTTTGCACATCAGAAAGATGCCAAGTGTTTTCACTCAAATAAAAATACTGAAAAAAACAAGCCAACTCTTTCTTACTCTGAAGTCCTTGAAACCTTCTAGTAGGCTCAGTTTCTCAGGCACAGACTCCAGATGGTCTAAAGCCACGCGGGTACTCTGGAAAAGAAAACATATGGAAACCAAACATTATAAAAATTTTATTAATACTCTCAGAACCCAACAACTAAAATTCAATTGTACCACTGGTGTAAGTAGTTCAAGCTGTAGGCTTAGAAAATAAAATAAGAACAGATAGAATAGTATTTCTGAGATAAAAATATCTTTTTAAATCAGAAGAGTGACTTCCTTTTACAAAGTATATGAGATTCATTTGCAAGACTGACTCAGAAATGAAAACTCTTCCTGGACAATTGCTTTCAACTGATATTCTAAGGGACTTTCTATGGAGCATTTCATATTATTATTAATTTGCAAACCCACTTCTGTGAATATCAGAAATAAACCACAAGGTAATACCAAGAAATAGATGTATTTGCAGTTATTTATCTATGAAGCACACTAGAGATCCTTACATGTTGCCAATATAAAAAAGAAAACAGTTTTCAATGATTATTTTAGTTAAAAGGAAAAGGGATGGGTTTCAAGACATGGAAGAAATATCTAAAATTTAATATTTGTGACAGGAACAAAAGATACTATAATTAATCAATTACTTACACAGTCTTTTGATTAGTAAATCACTAATTTACACCTACCAATATAAACACCTACAGGAAATTATCTAAAAGTTATTTTGAAGCCAATGTAAAATAAGAGCTTAAATCATAGAATAATCCTGAGACTAGATACTGTATCATATGCATTTCTCTATTTTTATTTTGTTAATCCTCACCTGGGGATTTTTTTTATTTTTTTTTTATTTTTTTTTTTTAGAGAGAGAATGGAAGGGAGGGGGGAGAGAGAAACATCTATGTGAGAAACACACATTGATTGGTTGCCTCCTGCATGTGCCCGGACTGGGGCTCAGAATGAACCTGCAACCCACACACATGCCCTTGACTGGGAATCAAATCTGTGACTCTTGGTTGTGCAGACTGACACTCTACCACTGAGCCATACCAGTCAGGGTGTATATCTGTATTTGTAGCCCTGTCACAGGGTCAGCACTTTATAATAGGTAAGCAATAGATACTAGCCTTTAAATTTAAAATTAAATCAATGACAAGTCCCATGGCTGGTACATGAGAAGTGGAGGGTCTTATGAGGATCTAGACATGAGTTTGTATAGCATTGAGAAGTTAGTGGCCACTTATATTCCATGTGCCCTCCCACATTTCCCATTTGAATGATTCTGAACACTGCACTATGACATGTGTCACTTCTGGGATGAGACAATTAAGAGCCTGTGTGCTGGGCTCTTGCATCCTAGTCTCTGTCATGAAATCCTCAGAGATCTCATACTCCAGATGGCATAGCTGCAAGATAGAGGAGAGCTCTCAGCCATACTGGATTTCATGGGAGTGAGACATCAACCTTTATTGTATTAAGCCACGAGATGTCAGGGACTGTTAGACACCAATGCATGGCACAGCATCAATTGTTGCAAATCACACCTATAATTTCATAATTCAATTATAGACTAATCAGTTAGTCACTGGCTTAAAGGGGTGGAAGAGTGGAGGCTCCATGTTATGAGTATATGAAAGTTTTCTCCCTTGCGAAGTTCAATTTTTCTGAAACTAGAGAAGATTAGAAACTGGTGTTCCTCATATTCTTATTTTTTCTAGTTTTATTCTTTGAGGGAAAGGCACAAACACTGGTACTCCACCACTTTGAAATTGGAAATCATGTACTGTTTCTTTAAGTTCGAGTATTTTCTTTTTCAAGTTCCACTTAAAGTATTCAGGATTTTGCTTTTCCTGCTCAACATTATATTCACTTCTTCATGTGCAGGAACTAGATTCATCAAATAGCATGTTGCTTAACACAAGCCCCAACACAGAAGTTTAGGAGAGCAAGGAATCTTAGCCACCATCGATGGTATATGCATATGAATAGTAACACTATAAATTTCCACAAGAAGTATCTTGGCCCTTGAACAATATATTATAAATCAATGCCATGTCATTTAAAGCAAAATTTTAGGCCTTGAATAACATTTTCATAAACAATTATCCCAATTAACTTGTGGTTTTAAAATTTCATTTCCCTTTTTTTTTTATCCCATAAGTTTTCACATTCAGAAATGAGCCTCTGAATCTGGATTAAATGTTTAACTCATTTTTAAAAAAATAAGGAATAGATCTTCTTCCTTATTGTAAAATAAAACATGCTATACATATACTTTTGCTTAAAAATTTCAGTCAACCAAGTTACTGCATCCATACAAAAATGATGATACTGCCGAAACCGGTTTGGCTCAGTGGCATCAGTCTGTGGACTGAAAGGTCCCAGGTTCAATTCCAGTCAATGGCATGTACATTGATTGTGGGCACATCCCCGGAAGGGGTATGCAAGAGGCGGCTGATTGATGTTTCTCCCTCATCGACGTTTCTGGCTCTCTATCTCTCTCCCTTCCTCCTCTCTGTAAAATATCAATAAAATATATATTTTTTAAATTGATTCTAACATGCTATTTTCCTTTTTTGTAACATTTAGCACTAGTACAGCACACTACCTATCCACAGAGTGGCTTCAATACATTTTGGCTGAATAAAGACAAAGGCAAAATTGTTATGTTCTTTACAAACCATTGACCCTTGGCCTCTTTATTAAAAATCCAACAGCAAAAGTTTGTTATTGCATTTCTTTTCTCTAGTACAAGGACATTATCAGGTGATAGAAACAACAGTGAAGTTCAGAAATCCTGTCTATTAGGCCCTGTGGCTCTTGCACCAAACTCTGTGGAGTTGAGTAGTTTAGACTGGTCCATAGCACATTTTTCTGTAGTCCTCCCTTTGTTTCAGATTACTGGGAAATTAAAAAATATACCATAATAACACAAATAGGAGCAATTAGGAATAAGAATGGGTTTTTACTGCTATCCTTAAATTTTTGTTTCTTGTACACAAAGCTCAAGAAACATATTTAACCATAGGAACATTTTAGTAAATACACTTCTTTTTCTTATGAATGTATAACAACTGCCATTTTCTTATAGTGCTGTCGGAATAAAGTGTTTTGAGGTTTAGATGAACAAAGAAAGAAGATGTTGTCTGTATTTTTATTTTAAAGTAAGTGTGTGCATTTTTTGGCACTACACAGATATTAAATAAACAAGGCTATGGAGCGGTTTATTTGGGTTCAAAAATGCAATTCTATTTCATTTGGAAAGAGATCCACTGCAAAATTTTCTTGACAAATGGCTGAAAGATGGTAAGAGGACCTGAGTAAACAAGTTTCAAGGAGAGGAAGGGTGAGATCATAAAAAGGAGAGACTGTCTGACTTTTTGCTGCGGTGACTGTGTCCAGCACAGCTGCACTGGCTTCATAGGGCCTTCTTCTCATCCAAGCTGCGTAAGACACTCACTGGGACCAGGCTCAACGGTAGCAGAGAACAGGATGGCAAAGCCATTTTGTTGATGTATATTCTTCAAAAAAGCCCAATGCTCAAAGGTTTGTGGATTTCTTGGACTACAAGGGAAAACCGTCTATTTCTAGATGGAACTCTATAAGAGAGGGCTAAAGATCAGACGCCCACTTAGAAGTGTTTATGTGCATCTTGGGGTAAGAGGTGCATAAGGCTTATTAAATTAAAATACCACCTAATGTGGCAATATGACATCAGTGCCTATATGTGAGCTAAAGTACAGAAGAAGTTTTGTCGACAAATTATATTTTGTTGGCTTGCAACATGATTCTAGACCTTCTTTAAAAAGCAAAAATTGGTAAAATTTGAGGATAGTATATCTTCATTGAAAATTTTGGTAAAGAAGGCTTTTGGGGTATTTTCTCTCATTCAAAATAATCTATTTATATAATCCTCACTTGAGGGTATTTTTCTATTGATCTTTTAGAGAGACTGGGAAAGAGAGGGAAGACAGAGAGAAACATTGATGTAAGAGAAACACATTGATTAGACACGCCCTGACCAGGGTCCGAGCTGGGAAGGATCCTGCAACCAGGGTATGTGCCTTGACCAGAATTGAACCTGGAACCGTTTGGTATGGAGGCTGATGCTCTACCCACTGATAGAGCCAAAATGATTTTTTAAGTTATTAGCTACATGAAATCTACAGAATCTGCCATTCCATATTATTGCTTTCTTATTTTTTAGATATAACCGAGTTATGTTATAGCCAACCGATGACCTTATTGTTAGCTTAATTTGGGGATTTTTTTTTTTTTAAGGAATAAGTTGAAGGAGAAAGGAGCTCAGAGGGAATAAAGAATCATATCTCTTCTCCATGAAATACTTGAGGTTCCCTCTTTAAACATATTTCTTGCCACCATCTAACATAAGGGGAAAATAATATACCAAGAAAAAAGAGGACTAGCTTAGTGTTCTCTTCATGCTGAACAATGAATTAGACCCTTATAACTGGTCTACCCAGAATAGTGTCTTGAGATCCACAATGTAATTTCTACTAAAGACATCACATAAATGTCTTAAAACTGAAAATAAAATATACTGACAAAGAAATTTAAGAACTTTAGCCCTCAAAACATGATTATCTATACTAATAAAAGGGTAATATGCTAATTAGCCTGGGTTGACCAGACATCTTCTGATGTCCAACTCCTTCTGGACAAAGCCATGGTGGTGGGGACAGAGGCAGAGGCGGTTAGGGGCAATCAGGCTTGCAAGGGAGCAAGCAGTTAGAGGTGACCAGGCCAGTAGGGTAGCAAGCAGTTAGGGGCAAGATCAGACTGGCATTGGGGAGCAAGCAGTTAGGGAACAATCAGGAAGACAGAGGAGAGGAGTTAGGGGGTGATCAGGCCAGCAGGGGAAGGCAGTTAGGGGGTGATCAGACCGGCAAGGGAGGGTAGTTGGGGGGAATCAGGACAGCAGGGGAGGGCAGTTGGGAGTGATCAAGCCAGCAGACAGAGGCGGTTAGGGGTGATCAGGCAAGCAGGCAGGTGAGCAATTAGAAGCCAGTGGTCCTGGATTGTGAGGGGGATGTCCCAGATTGGAGAGGGTTCAGGTTGGACTGAGG